AAATTTCTTCTAAACAGACCCCTGATGACAATGCTGTGGAATCGAAGATAATATTCATATTAATCTAAAACCGGCAGTAAAAAAGTAATACATAACAGTAAGTACATGTAATATTTCTAGTTATGATACATTCTATTTAAGTAGATCTCGTAATTGCATTCATCTAGAATTAAAACTTTTTATTAGGAATATCTATCGTTCTATGTATTTACTTACCATTGATTAATGCATCTGTATACAACCGTTGATGAACTTGGCCTCGCAACTGCATCCGAACTTTGTCAGAACGTGTAACACGCGAAGATCTACCCTGAAACAGTGATACATATTACAAAATAGATATTCTCAAAAAACTATTTAGGAAGGAAAATGCAACTCAGGAAATATATAATATTTACCAAACTTTCTGGTAACGGTGGAAATGGACGATGGATAATGGATGATCGATATTCTGGAGTAGCTGAATGTACTACTGTATTAGGTGTGTCTGCAAGTACAGTAACCACTAAATCGTCACTCAACATCATCTCCATTTCTTGAATACTTCGACGACTGAATGTGCCATTTCCCTGTAATTATATTGCGACAAATGAAATTTGGATGCTTTCCAAAAAAAATTTTTTTTACTGATTTTATAAGGAGTTACCCTCAATATATTTTTTTAATTCTTAAAGAAAAATCTAAATCAAAAATCCCTACCAAAGTAAACAAGAATACATAATTAATTAAGCTAAGAATCAATATAAAGCACGCTATCGAAATCAATGCTAACCAACTTGGCTATACAGGAAACATAAGGGAGTTTTAACTTTATTAATCAGCTTTAACAGGGTGCTTAGCCAAATCTTTCCAACAAAAAACAAGCACCTTTTAAGTACTTTTTAAGCACTCAAAAAATATTTATAAGCACTATATACATTAACAAAATTGAAAATAATTTTCAACGACTTTACAGGATCATGACAAAATAACTAGTTTCTGACAAAGAACACTTTTCTTGTTTACATTGTAGTGATCGAGACATTGTAAAATGATCGTGAGATTTTTCGGTTCGATATCAGAAGGTGGAAAATGAACCCTGAAGTTAAGAATATCTTGCAAAATGCAGCAGAGTTGCACATGAGAATGCAATAACCTCACTGAACCCAGCTCAGTATATGCACATGCGGACTCGCAAGTATTTCATCAAACATGTAAAATGATTGTCGTTTTTATACGCTATGAACCAACGGTACGCCGAAATAGATTGTAATTGAATAAATTGTGAATAACGTTGAATAA